ATAACTTTTGATAGGAAGGTCATAGAACGGTCGGGGACGTCTCATTTTGTAGAGAATCAGTTGCTCTATCGATCTGGAGAAATAAAATGCCGTTTGTTTCGCGACTTTGGGGTGTTGAAAAACCAGGGTTTTAGTATTCTGGATGTTCCGTTTTTGGGAATTTATCGATAATCATCATTTTATCATATTGTTATTGGAAACAATTTTCTCTATTCAAATCACTATTTAGATTTCTTCTAACATGTTCGACTATGAAATAAAATCCAAATTATATGTGGTTGGATAATTTTGACGGCCACTGTATATATAGAAGATAGAAACCATAAATAGCAGAGAGAAAAAAAGAAAAATATTATATAGAGAGAAAAAGAAAGTGTGTGAACTCGAAAATGAAGTCATTTAGTACTGATAGAAAGTTATTACATTTACATCGTTTGTTTTCAAATCTAAATATAATGAAAACAAGATTCGCTTTTTTCCTATTGATCTAATTTAGATCGCAATACTTCTTTTTACTTAATTTTTCTTCTTTAAATAAAAAACTAAATACCTTTTTGGATTCGGCTTGTGCCATAAACATGTAGCATGATGAACAACAAGATTTAGACAATGAGCAAGACATGCGAGCCGAGGACCGAGTACACCAGATGCAGCCGCACATTTTATATCAGGACCATTGTCGGTTGTAATTCCTGCTAAAATTCTTGTTCCTAAGCCAAAACGTTCTCGCTCATGTTCGAAAAATGCTTGAAGATTTGAAGCTAATTTTTGTTCTTGAAATCGATGGAATGATAATGGTAATGAGATAAATTCAAAATCGAGAGAAAATGTGTGAAGAGAAAGAGAGATTATATGTTGTTGAGAGACATCTTTCCATAAATCACTTGTAAAGGCTATTGGTCCAACATGTGACAAAACAGATTTAAGATCAAGAATATGATGATAATATTGTTCGTGAATGCGTGATGAAAGTGTACAACGATTCGGTGGTTTATAACCAGGCTCGAGTATATTCAAAAGTTCAATAATTGCATCATGAGAAAATAAATTGAACGGCAAACCAGCTTCAATGGTACATTTTAATATTGCTTGATCGATTTGATGTTTGCGAGCTGCAGGCAATAGATTAGCTGAGACTTCATTTGATTTCAAAATACGCTGTTCTTCTTGAGAGTCGAAAGCATACTTCTTTAAACCATGAAAAATAAGGTGTGATCGTAAATTAGCTGTACCACGACCATTTTGTTTGATTATCTAATTAATTGAAAGTAAAATAATTTGTATGACTTTATAAGTACATCGTTTTATTAGTCTCCATATATCAATTAAAATAGGTTTAGTTCATAGCAACGGTAGCAATTCTCTGTTATTTATTATGACTAACACTGATTTTACGTGTTGTATTGGTCGGCTTTTTAAGAAAACTACCCAATTCACAAAAGTTCTCAAAATCTGCTCTACTTATATAAACTTCATCTTTGTTTTTAAATATCCAGAAGACAATTCAAAATCAGCTGACCTTTACTTTGTCGATACATAGAGTACATCTATACGTTCCATTGGGTTGCTGTTCATATAATTCGTACACTTCGTTTGCCAGCTTCTTTCCCGATGCAGTTGTTTGTTTTATTGGATAATTTTTATCGATTTCAAATGGATATTTAGATGGAATAATATTTTCTTTAACTGATTGATCTCCAGAAGATAATTCTTGAACATCAACAGCGTCACAGATCATTACTGATTCTTCAACACCATCATCAATGTTTAATTTGTCATTAGATCGAAAATTATTAATTGGAGAACGAATAGTTGTTGTGTTGGAATTTTTACTGGTGTTAGAAGTAGGTGTTGATGTTCGTAATCCGCTATTGCGTTCTAAAATCAATCATACATTTTATAAGAAAAAATATTACATTCACAAAAGTCGAATCATCTTCTATACCAAATTTACTTACGTGATGATGACTCTCGTCTTCGACGATTAGCACTTAATGATGGTGATCGACTTGGTAATGTACGATGTAATATACGATCTGTTGTTGATGATCTTGGTGTTCGAGCTCGCAAACTACTAGAACGAGTTTGAGATTGTGGTGGTAAAGCATTTGACTTCGATTGAACATCACTATTGCTATCAGACATTCGGATATAATATACGAAACGTATAGTAATGTGTGCGTTTGTTTGGATAAGCAACCACGTTAAAATAAAATACTTAATAACAGTAACCTTCTCTTTTCAAAATAAACAAAGCAAAGAAAATGAAGCGAAAGGAAGAAATAAAAACAATAGACCATAGTATCGACGGTCACTCTCTTTTCTATACATGCGACGAGCAGCCGTATAGTGGCATATCATGTTTTCTTTTTTCTTTCTTCGCTCGTTATCTCTTCTCTTTTGTTTTCAGAAGTACATAAAGCTTTTCTATAATAAGTAATATTTCCGATAATAAGTAATATAAGGAGAATTTCACTAAATAGAGCCTAATATTAGGACTCAAACAATATATTTGAAAATAGTACACATAACTATAGAAGGTATTAGCATGATACTAATGCTAACTTAATACTAATGCCAAAGTATTAAATTAATTTTTTAATTCTAATACCAAAGCATTAAATTAATTTTTTAATCCTAATACGAAAGCATTAAAATTAGCGTTACTTAATGCAATGCTAATGCTAAGCCAGCACCCCTATCAATCGGTATAGGTGAATTCGTTTTGCGTTAGTTTTTATTAAAACATATCGAGGACGAAACAACTTAATTTCAGAGAAGCATAAATAAAAGAATCTGTTATTTCTTGATAAAGACAATAGCAACAATAAAGCATTATTGTAACGAATGTCCAAAATTGAATGAATCTCACAGTATTGTAACGATATTTCTTTTACTAATTTATTTGTTCAGATTTTTCTTTTTTTCAAACGATTCATCTTTTAATTCACTACAAAATGGCATATTTTTGATTTTTGAAAATAGCATCTATCATTTTTCAAGAAAAGACTTGCAACAAGTAGTCTAAGATAAACAATTTTAGAAAACAAACTTTTTCGAAGATTTTTAGCAGCATGTTTTAATTTTTTTTTTAAAGTGTTCAATTGATGAATTGAACAAATTCGTCTCAAAAGCTGAATAGTCCAATGGAATTTAATCTAGTTCAATTGTTTGTCGATGGTGATTATTGACGAAAAAGGTAAAGATTTTCTGTTGCCATTGCTGTGCTAACTGGTTAATGTGAGGATTTTGCACTGTTGTGAATTATCAAGTCTGATATCGATGGACATTTTTGATCTAAGAGCATTAGACCATGGTTATTGCATTCAATATGTTCATTTAGTTAGCCTACAATATAGCAATGAAGCCTTCACAAAATATTGGACAATCCAGTACGACAGTGCAAAATTTTCACACTGATCAGTCACTAGAACAATGACAACAGAACAAATTAGCCTCTTTCATCAACAATGATCGTCAATTTAATTCCATTGCACTATACATTTTTTAATCAATTTGCTCACTTTATTAATTGGAAAAACGTACCATCCAAATATACTTTTAACGCAAAATTGAAACATATTGTCGAAAAAGTTCGACAAAAAGTTGTTTTACAAAATTGTTTATCTGGGACTGTTTGTTTCAAATATATTTTGAAAAATAGTAGATGGTGTTTACGTTAAAAAAAGAAATACCATTTTTTAGTGAATTAAAAGACGACTTCTTTGAAAAAAAGAAAGTTTAAACAAATGAATATTACACAAGATACCATTAAAATACTGAGAAGTCTATTCAATTCGGAACACCTATTAAGAGTATGTAATTTGCTACAATCAGCGCATAAAGTTGATTCATTTCGAATCATTTATATAACTCGGCACTATTTAGATAAGTATTATATCGTCCACCACTGACCAACACTGTTCCATTTGCTATTATGGATGCTGTATGAAGGTATCTCTCAGTGTTCATGTTGCTACTATTGGTCCACGTTCCAGTCAACGGATCATATAACTCGGCACTATTTAGAACATAAGCATTATATCCTCCAATGACCAACACCTTTCCATTTGTTAATACGGTTGATGTATGGTAGGCACGTGCAATGTTCAAGCTGCCAGTAACAGCCCATGTTCCACTCGATGGATCGTACAACTCGGCACTGTTTAGGTAATTATAACTATATCCACCAGTGACCAATACTTTCCCATCTGCTAATATGGACGCTGTATGAGCATACCGTCCACTGTTCAAGTTACCCGTAGCGGTCCAAATTCCACTTGATGGATCATACAATTCGGCAGTATTCAGGTAGCTAGCACTGATACCATATCCTCCAGTGACCAACACTTTTCCGTTTGTTACTAAGGTTGACGTATGATAGGCACGTGCAATATTCAAGCTACCAGTAACAGTCCATGTTCCACTCGATGGATCATACAACTCAGCACTGTATATAGGACCACCATAATATCCTCCAGTGACCAAAACTTTTCCATTTGTTAATATGGTTGATGTATGATAGGTACGTCCACTGTTCAAGTTACCAGTAACAGTCCATGTTCCACTCAATGAATCATATAACTCAGCACTGTTTAGAAAATCACCATTAATTCCCCCACTGATCAACACTTTCCCATTTACTAATACGCTTGCTGCATGAGATTTGCGTGCAGTGTTCAAGTTGCCAGTAACGATCCACGTCCCACTTGATGGATCATACAACTCAGCACTGTTTATATAATTATAATTATCATTAGTTCCCCCACTGATCAACACTTTCCCATTTGTTAATATGGATGCTGCATGAAATCCTCGTGAAGTGCTCATGCTGCCAGTAAATATCCAACCTAGAAGAAACCAACAGAAGACATCAAATATAGTAAAATATAATCTGTTTCTCTAAACTGTCAATTAATCATGTATAGGAATGTAAAATCCTAGATTGAAATATCCATCTTTTGATGATTGTAAACTTTTCTTTACAGTTTTGATGTATCTTCTTGAAAACTGTTAATATCGGATATCATAAAATATTTCCAACACGATATGTTTTTCATATGTATCTAAGCGATGAGGCATAAAAGTCTTGATTTTTTCATAAGATGCGCCGTCGAAAACTCTACAAAAGGTGTATGAACAAATTCATATTGACTTGCTCTGATTTTTTTCTAGATTGTTAAAAGTCAAGATATGCACTAGGTAAGAAACGATATTTTTCCAGGAAGGTACCGCTATAATTTCAAATAGAAGACATAAACAATTCTATATCAAATGAAAGCTCGTTAAAAATGGGATTTATTGACACTAAATAGCAAGGATTATGAACATTTTCTAATATCAAACTTGAGAAACTTTCAGAAATTTTATTCTTTTTTTGCGGTGAAAAAGTAAAGTGCCAATAATTGAAAAAAGAATTACAATGTTGTTCTTGAATATTTTTACATTGTTCGATAGAGCTCGTCGAACTCTACAAAACTATGTATATGAAAAAGTTTTCAAATATAGTTGTTGGGTTAAAATTCACTGAAAACTGTCTAAAGAATACTGAAAAATCCTCATTTTTTACATTTTTATAGGGATAGAAAGTGATTCCTTTTACACTAAATTCAGCTGTTTTCCATTAGTACTCTTATGTAAAACGTTTGAAAATATACTCATTCGATGCAGCGTAAAAAACTGAATCGAATGAATATATTTTGAAACATCTGACGAAATAAAAATAATCAGAAAAAAGGAAATTTTATTGAAAATTTGAGTGTTTCTCTTCTATATCAAAAATATGACTCTATTAACATTTTTCAAGATTTTCCAAATAGTTTTTTGAAATTTTTATCAAATGGAAGACTCAAAAGATTTTTAATGCATACATTTTTGTAGAGCTTGACAAGCTCTATCGAACAATCTAAAAATATTCAAGAAAAACATTGTAATTCTTTTTTCAATTACTGGCTCTTTACTTTTTCACCATAAAAAAAGTATAACATTTCTGAAAGTTTCTCAAGTTTGATATTAGAAAGTGTTCATAATCCTTACTATTTAGTGCCAATATATCCCATTTTTAACTAATTTTCATTTGATATAAAATTGTTCATGTCTTCTATTTGAAATTATAGCAATACCTCCCTGGCAAAATATCATTTCCCACCTCGTATACATGACTTTGTTACTGAATGTTCCAAAATTAGTTTGTTTTGCGAATATTACTGCATGGAAAAACGATAAAATCATGATTATTTTTCAAAAGATATGATACGAAACGCTTTGTAAAAGTCGTGTAAATAAATTCTCATTGCAAAACCAAAAGGTCTTTCAAACGTTTTTATTATGCTAAATACAGTTGAAGGCAGCACTAATATTTACAATACTGACCGAAATTCCTTATTCTCCCAGAAGTTTCTCGATATTTCCAGCTTTTGGCTTGAGACTGTAACTGGATACGGTGTCCGGAAAGTCCTTAGAGTTAGAAAAATTCGCATATCTGCTTTACGCCTCGACCAAACGAGCTCATTCTTTTACCGAAGATCGTGGTATGTTCACACTGTAAATTCATATGGGCAAGGGTATTTAGCATCTTTATTAAGTATCACTATTAACCACAACAAGAAAATTTTACTGTTTCCCAGTTATGAAAAAAAAAATGTATAGGATAGAGCAAAAGACACTTTATTGAAAAGACAATTGACTATCTCCATTATGGCTTGAGCAAACCAGCTGATATTTTTACCTAGGATAAACGCACATTCAAACTCTAAATCCATACTGAGAAGGGTAGTGAGAACCCTTGTTAAGTATATGGTTTTTCTTCCTCTCTGTGAAACAGTAAAATTTTCTTGTTGAAGTCAATTGTAATACTTAACAAAGATTCTGAATAATCTTGTCCATATGGGTCTGGAATGTGAACATGCCTCTATCTTTGGTGAAAAAAATGACCCCGTTTGGTCAAGCCGTGAAGCAGATATGCAAATTTTTCTAACTCTAAGGACTGATTCATCTGTATGTCAATAGAAAAACGTCGTAGTTTCTATCGAAAGTCGCATTGAAATAGGCTCATTGGGGACTGAGATCGAATACACAATAGAGCTATTATTATAAAGATGAAAAACTGAATAAAAATTGTCTTTCTTCACTGTTTCCATAACTCTGACAGGGAATCAATGATAAATTTATCAAGCCAAGAGTAGTATGACATCAAACAACCAGACGGATGATTATTATTAGTGAAGATAGTCGGACACATGAGACTTCTGACGCGATTTTCTTCCTAGTGAAGCAAGCCTATAAAGCATCCAAAGTCCTGTTGTATACTAACCAACGGTAAGAAAACCTAATTATATTTGGACTATTATCAGATTGCACAGGATCCACAGAATCACCAGCTAAGTGGACACAAAATTGCCTAAATTGGATTGTGAAAATGTGTTCGGATTAGCACCATAATTAGTCATTAGGAGTTTCCATTGACTCCAGTGTTTCTAATGGAACGATGACTCAGAGTGTACAGACAAAGGATTTTCTTTGTTTTTCAAAGTGTACAAAGTGTACAGACAATGGATGTACACTTGCCATTAGAAACACTGATTGACTCTTATCTCTAGCAGCGTCATACATTATAACTATCGTCTGGTAACAAAAAGGCGAGTCGACAAAACAAAGAGAAACCCAAAAAAAACTTTTTCTATCAGTTAACCATGCAGATGGTCACTTACGCATCAAGTTAGTTGTCGTAGTGGTTGCTGTTGTTGATGTTGATGTGGATGTTGATGTCGATGTGGATGTTGATGTTGTTGATGTTGATGTTGATGTTGATGTCGATGTGGATGTGGATGTGGATGTGGATGTGGATGT